GAAAGAGTGGAAAGCTTTCAGACACAGGCACGACAGGACCGCTAGGGGTCTCAGCCGAGGCCTCGCACGGAGCCTCAGCATCTTCCGGCACGTTCGCCCGCTCATCAAACAAGTTATTGCGGGTCAGGTGCTGCGTGCGGGCCTGGATAATGCGAGCGAGCACAACTTGAACGGCTTGCCAAGACGCAGCCGAAGGGGCATGACGAGCAGAGGGCACGTAATACCCGCACAGCCTCATAGCCGGGGGCCACACCGCGGGACGCAAACGCAGGTGAGCCAGGTCATCTCTAATGCCTTGCCAGGCCGGACACGACCACAAGACATGAAACACGTCCTCATCATCACCATCACAGAAAGGACATTTGGCAGTGGGCGTCAACCCCGCCAGATGCCGCACATGCTGAGTGGTAATCGCACCGCAAATCAAGGTTTGCAGGGACTTCCGGAGCAGCGTATGCTTGTCAGCATGAAGGACGATGCGAGTGACGTCAAGGTCAGCCACAGTCACCCCGACAAAGTCCTTACGACGATTTTCCGCACGTTTCAGAAGCATGACACGCAAGGAATTGCGCACGTGATGCAGAAACTCAGGTTTAGGAGTGGCGAGAACATCGACACTAACCGGACCGGTGAGCGTAGGCACAGTGAAGGACACACCGTCGTTGCAATCCCAACCCAAAGTCCGCAGCCGGCGCCGAAACTCGCGTACAGGCCCATGGCCACGGACGCATCCTCTCTTAGTGACGGCACTCCATGTAGCAAGCCACTGCTGCATGAACGCCGGGGCCTGCAACGCACGCCGAAGGGCACAGAAAGAGGCATAATGCACTGCCATCTCCGGGTCAAGGACATGACCCTGGAAACACATGGTCACCGCAGCCTCCGGGCACCGACGCGGCTTACCCTCCCATACAACACGCAACAAGCAAGTGCGGAGCGGGAACAACTCCGCCCTCGGAATGCTGTGAGCCTCCAGGCCGTAGATACCCTTGGCCACAGCAGCGGATGCGGCAGGAAACTGACGCTCATGCGAGCACAAGGGGAGACTGGTCAAGCGGCGCATGACCTGCACCATGGCCTGAGCGCGGGCCTTGCGGGTAGAGACACAAGGCTGCGACGTAGCCGACATATCAGTACCGAGTAAGGTCCAGTGGGTCTGGACGGGCAGGGCCTCATCACCCCAGGAGACAGTCGCTTCAGGGGGCGACGCATGCCAAGCAAACGTTTTCTGGGCACCTAAGACCGTCACCAAACCTTCATCTCTGTTGAATTGCCGCGAGGCATCCACAGCCGCCTGAAGAGTAGCACAGTCCGGTGCTTCGACTTCTCTGTCATCGACGAAGGCACAGGGCTTGGCACCGACAGCTTCGATGGTGAGACACCATCTGCGCATCAAGAGGTTGGACGCGAACAACGAGAGAGGGCAACCCTGGAGGACACCTCTTTCCGGCCGTAGGGCAACACTATCAACGGTGCGACCGATGCGAAAGATACGCTCATGTTGCGCATAGAAGGCAAGCCATAGACCAACATCCTCCGGGCACATGCCAGCATCCAGTAAGAGTTGGCCAATGCGCGGGGGTTGCAACGTATCAAAGAACTTCCACGAATCTTCAGTATAGCCATGTGGGCGAAGATCAGGCTCACCAGGCTCGGGGACTTCACCAACCAAGACACGTTCAAGTTCAAGCTGCATTTGAAGATACATGTCAGCACAAGTGCGACCAGGGACGCCACCGAACTGATTGGCATGGACAAGCTCGGGCATCGAAGTGTTGATCTTTTGCAATGTGGACCAGGCCCATGCACGATAAGCCAAGCAAGCCACCGAGATGGGGCGAAGTTTGGACACATCCTGAACACCGCGGCGGCCATCTTTGGGGATGAAAACCGTGTGGGCCGACGTGAGGATATCAGGCCAAGCAGACGCCTGAGTGCAGCACTCCAAGAACAAGGACAAGAAGCCGGCGGTACGAAGATCCATCCTTTTCCACTGAGCAGCTTCCCAACCATCGGGCCCGCCAGCAGAGAACGCCTTAAGCCGACGGTTAAAGCGCATCAGCATCTCAGGGTCAACACCGGATTGGCATTTGACAGTGGTGGGATCAACATTCAAGCAGTACTGCTGAGCAGGCTGAGCACGGACAGTCTGAGCAACCATATCGGCCGGCAGAGCGTAAACGGGAACCCAGAAGCGGCGCAGAGCCGCAAAGGTCGCTTCAGCACCGCGGTGAAGGACACCGTTCTCAAAGACAGCATGAATCTGTTCAAGATTTTCCCCACGAATCCATTTGAAGACGCGGGCTCGATCAACACTCCAATCCGTACGGATGCGCTGTTTCCAGGCAGCAATGCGGTCGCGTTTATCTTGCTCACACTGACGCTGGCAAAACTTCTCAAGGTGAGTCAACAACGTTTTGGCAACCGCAGGCTCAAGCAGGTCACCAAGTTCGGGGCTAGGGAGGCCAGGGGCAAGGTCAAGCAGGGTGTGGATCACCTTGGTGGCCGTGCGGACGGCCGCAGGGTGAGCGAGGTGACCCCGCGCAAGCTGACGCAACTGACACTGGGTCTTATACAGCCGTCGCTGCTCAAGAGTCATCGCGCGCTTACGCTGGTGCATGGGCGCATTGTACTCATTAGAACAACGGGTTTCGGCAGTAACACCGCGACGAGTGCCACGGTCATCGGGCCGGCATTGGCCATTGGCACAAAGGAGAGAAGACTCTAGAAGGATGTCCTCAAAGCATTGGCTCCAGATGAGCCAGGCAGTAGAAACATCATGCGAAGCACAAGCGGCGAGGAAGGTAGCTTGGTGATGTGCCCAACATCGCGCGCTAACAGCATCAGACACAGCACCAGCACCCAAGTCTTTACGAGGCTTTAGGCAGCGTTTGCTAGGCAAGTAGACCGCCGCCTGGACTTGTAGCCACAACGGGCGATGTTGCAGACCCTCGTCAACAGCAGTGTCACCATCAATATACAAGGGAGCAGCATGCTTATTCAAGATAAAGCCGTCAATGGTAGAGGAAACCTCGCCAGAGACATACGTAGGCACATACCGACCGCGCTCGTCGACAGCACCAGCTCTAACCGTCCCCCCTGCCATGCAGGTGTGAAGCGCAAAAGGGGTGTCCGTAACATGGTCATTCCAATCACCGACGGCAATAACAGGGCGATACTCAAAATGAGCAGCGCAAGTAAACAAGTCTTCATTGAGCTTGTGACGGAGTTGCACTTGCTTGGTGTCACCATGTCCACTCTGCGCATACAGATTGAAAATGACCAAGCCTTCAACCTCGAGGGCCATGAGACGGCCGGCATGCAGCCAAGGGTCAAGCTCACCAGGGCAGTCACAGGGCAGAGCAGACAAATGAGACCGCACCAGGAGCGCTACCCCTGGGAAGTCACCTTGACCGCGCTTGCGCGTGCCATTGTGAGGAGGGGCAACACCACCCCAAAAAACTTGCCAACCACGCTCTTTCAGCAGTTTTTCAAGCTGACGCTGGGTACAGGCGTCAGCACGAACCTCTTGCAAAGCAATGACGTCAACAGAAGCACGATGACAGTAAGCATCAACTCGCATCCAATGTTTCTTGAGACTACCAACATTCCAAGTAGCCAAACGCAAAGAAGGTAAAACTACTTCATTCTGTGCCGCGTCACGGCACGCTGCACGGGCGGCACAACCGCGCGCAGCCGGCCACCATCAGCAATGACTACCACCTCGGAGCGAGGCTTTCCACTCGGTGATGTCCTCATGCACAGCGGGAAGGACCGCTGCGGCATCGAGATGAAAGGCGTCGTAGTGGGACGCTCCGTACCAAAGCACTACAGGGATCTCAGAAGGGTCTTGTTCCTTCCACGACACATGATAGAGAATGTTTTTCACACTGTCAAAGATGTAGAGAGGGCGTGCGGGCGCAAGCAGGTAAGTAAGCACTAGAGCCGAGGCTTCATCGCCCCACTCGGAGTCCATAGCCTGTTTGCGAGCCCACTCCTGCACACTACAATCAAGAAACGGGGTGATGGCATCACGCCAGGTGGCCTCTTTCATAGCATCCTGCAGGCGCCTTCGGAGGCCAGTGGCACCGTGTTCATCGTTGAACTCCGACAAGCATTTAGCTAGTGCGTGAAAACAACAATTCCCATCGCCTTTGACCTTCTCGAGGACTCCAGTGGCCGCCAACTCAGATGCGGCGACCTCAAGTTGGCAGATCTTGATACCTGTGGGGACCTGCTCATGAGTTGCACGTCGTCGACGCTTGGGGCTATTATCAAGGGCAGGTGGGGCGCTACTACCACCTAGCATCTGCAAAATACGTTGCATGGTATCCTCAACTCGTTGCAAACGGCTCTCTGTGTCTACGGACAGTGATGGGTGCGCATGCGCACCCGAAACTGTAGCATGATTCGGCCTGCCCTGCTGACGCAAGGGGGGCACGGACATGGGAGGGGCACTAGCCGGATCAGGGGGCTTAGGGTTCGCCTTAGCCACATCAACCCAAGCTCGCCTACTGCAATCAGGCACTGGGTGCGGATCATCGGGGGCGCGTTCCTGCTGAGAAGGACGTCCCCAGGTTTTCAAAACTGGGCGATGGGCCAGTTGCCTTTCCACCGAAACAATAAACGTTGTGTGATCATCCATTTTCACCCGCCACATTGTCTTAGGAGGCTCCGTGGGTGCGGCAACCACCCAGGTGGCACTACTCCGAGATCCACCTCGAGACCTAAGTGTATGTAGGGGGGTTGCGTCCCATCCAGTAGCTTTCAAGAACTCTGCAACATCAGCGTCGCTACAGGCAAATGGCACATTGGACACCAAATAACGCGTTTGCGTGGGATCACGACCTAGGGCCGTACGCAGTTGATCAAAGTGCTCCTTGGCGGCGCGAATTCCCAACCCATGAGGCCGCAACGCGAGCCCCAGCGCACCTTGTGTTTTCCACTGTTTGGCCAGTTCAAGAGCAGCTTGAACATCCTTGGCCTGTTCGTTCTTAAGCCAGATAACTCCAAAATCCTCAACCTTGGGTCCTAACGGCCTAAAGAACACTCCGTGCCCTGACGTCACAAGGCACTGCTGCACTGCCGCTGACCGGACTCGAACGACAGCGGAGGCAATGGTACCAGACTTGGCAAGCTTAAAGACATCAATAATGTCAGACTCCTTTACACCATCTGGGCACTTGGCACAAGCTTCATAGACAAGCTTCCGCATGGCGTGGATCTTCCCTTGCATGATCTGCTGCCAGACCTCTTGATCACAGAATTCGGCAGCAACCTCAACGAGGAGAGTACAAGTGCTTCCGGCACCTTTGATGCTGACCTCGTCAAACCCGGGACGATGGAGAACCTCCCCTTTGCCAACATTGTACAAGAATCCCCAAAGAGCGACATCCCGGGTCTTACCCTCCTCAGTTCTACACACCTTAAACACAATGGGTGTATGAGCGCTTTCCCCCGGCAACTTGTCTTTCACAACCACCGCAGCTGGATGTGAGGTCTCCCGAACCTTAGCAACCTGCGCATGAGCGACCTCCGCTGACTCACAGAACTTGACACCGGCAACCCCAGGCATCAAATCAGTCACCACCGGGACGCTCCACTCGTCATCAACAAGAGCAAACTTGACTTCAGTGCGCCTCGGCACCGCCCGTGTCCACGCAGCAGCTTGGACCTTCTTGTTCGGGCCATCTAAGGCCGAGCTGGCGTTTTCAGATCTACCTTTACCTGCCCCTGAGGCCGATAGGGCAGAAGGAATGGACCTCGCGATCGCAGCAGGATTGGCATGGCCCTTTCCCTTACCAGATTTAGGCGCGGCAGCGGCAACACGCTCGCCAGTAGGGGACGGTAGCGCACTACCCCATCCCAACCCATACCGTTTGGCAGCCCCAATCAAGATCTGAACCGCCTTGGGGGATTTGCCCGCCTCATCTAAACGCTGGATGAGCTTAGCATCGCAACGAAGCAGTGCAGCATGTTTTTTGAACTCAGCCTTGGGCGGCCTCGTCGCTGGTGTAATCTGATCATAACACCACCACAAATCAACCGACCCGTTACCCGTGAGGGCGTGCATCAAGGCATTGCGTGTCTTACGGCCTAAGGCCCACAGCTGTGCGCGCAGCGTACGGCGACGCGCGGCACGCGCCAACATCTGAGCCCGCACATGATGCAAGACATGACTCGGTGTACGAGCATTGAAAAACACAAGCGGCTTCCTACGGGGGCGTAAACCCCGAATCCTTCGATTTCCCACTCGGCGGGCACTGAGAAGTTTGTGCAGTGGCTTCCGGGCCGCGAGTCGGTACGCAACTGCGCAGCCTACTGCAGCAGACAACCCACCAA